AGAGAGAGAGAGAGAGAGAATTGCAGAAACACACACAGAGAGAATGGCAGAAACACACACACACACACACAGAGCAAAGAGCCTTTCAGGGTGCCATGAGATTCCTTAATAAAAAGATGCACTGAAAAAAAAGAGAACAGAACAGGTTAGCGAAGGTGGATGGAGAGCAGAGACGAGCGGGAGGAAGGCGTGCGGTTAGCACCCTAAAAATGAAGATACTGGCCGGCGTGTAAACTTTTGGGAACTAGAGTCCACTTTGCCTCGTGTGTGAACCTGGCACCTTCCAGCAGGCAACCTTATTGGCCTGTTTGAGCCCCCCCCCCAAAAAAAATACAGTAATTGGTTTGGTTAAGCATGTACATTCTAAAATTGACAGTTTTACATCTTAGGTTTGACAGAACAGTTGTCACAGGTTCCTTTTTGGGGGCTGGTGAACAACTATTGTTAGCTTTCTCTTCTAACCCCATGTACTTTTCCCCTCTGTAACAGTGGGATTTCTTAACATGAGGCCTTTTAATGTATTGAGTTACCTCTCCCATCATTCCGAACCAGCAGTGATGGGAGTTGCAGCCTAGAGAGCGCTGGTTTGAGAGGAGGCTGCTCTGGATCATAGCATGTACCTATACACCTTACAGTTACGGATAACTTCTTGTGTGTCCGATGAAAGTCTTAAAAACTCTGCTAATGTTGTTATACATCTGTTAGTCTTTTAAGATGCCACAAAACAATAAGATTTTAGAGGCTGGCAGCTTATAGGGTTGGGGAGGAGCATAAATGCACAGATATATTTTTCTTTGCAGAACACTTGTGTGATGTTGTCTATATGTTTTTCATATCCTGTCTTTCTTATTAAACCATTAGTGTAGTTACATTGTTCCTGTGGACTTCTGTCACCTGGCTGGAAGCATGGATCTAAATATGTTGATTTATTGCCTCTAGCTCTTTCCCCTTTCTCTAATTGTCACCCGAGTTGAATTTTGGATTGCAAGTAGGGATATTTAGGCAGGGCTCTGCCACTCTGTAAGGCACCATACATCCTGATAGTACTATGTAAGTGCCATATAGTGGGGTGAGCGGCACTGATAAAGCAGTTCTGCCTCAACCGGCACAGGCAGTATTTTTCATGTTGTATTTTTGTATGTTAGGAGCTCTTGTGACAAAAGCCTCAGCTCCTTCATAATGAGAGCTTTTCCAGCATTTGTAGGAAAGTGTTTCTCCAAGCCTGTTCCATGTACCTCTCTCGATTATAGACAAAATATCCAGCTAAAACTTAATGAAAATGTAGCTTAAAAGGGTGGAAGCTGAAAATCATGTTGAGAACATGCTTAGCTTTGCCTTGTGGAAACAAATCCATAATATTAGCCACAAAGGGTTTTTTTTTTTAATCCTCCTCCCTTCTCCATTATACAGATGCTTTGATATGTGACCTTTATCGGACGGTTTTAGCAGCTCCAGGGAAAAATCATTAGTTCAGTGCTCTTTCAAAAAGTCATTAGGAAACAGAACATAATTATATGAATGTGCATTGTATTGATTTAGTGTATCGAGCTATAATTCAAGTTTCCAGCTGGCTTCTGTTATTCAAAAGCGTTAAATACTGTGTGTTTATGTAGGGGAAGATCAAAATTGCTGTGGTGAGCAGGTGGCATCTTTCTAATTTTGTTTTTAGTCAGTCAAAATGAAGGAAGAGCTATATTTTACTGTCCAGTGTTCCAAAACTGGATTGTTGTTCTTTTAGTTATGTTTATTTTCTAAACCAAGGACAGACAGCAGAAAGTAGATTTAGATCTACTGTTAGAGCCTTGTGTTATTTATCGCAGTAGATCAGCGAAGATTTCAGAGTCCCAGTTGTTTAACAAGAGTAGCAACAAACTGATAATTCCTTACCCATCCTAAATTGTAACTTAGAGCAGTTTAGTGGATTTTTTTATGAAGCAGGACTGAGAATTATATTAACAACAATGGTTGAGCTCAGAGTCCTTTAATTCTAAACATGTCTTTTGAATATGGTTGGTGAAGGCCACTATCCAGCTAAAAATACAAAGTACATGTCCACGTGTTTGCGTATCTGAAGTCTTCTCATCTTTATTCTAACCAATGCATTTTTGGAGCTGTTGTGAAAAAAATTATTCTTTCTGGGGGCTGAAGTGTGTATGCTGCAGAATAATTTCGGTTCCATCCTGTCTGCAAGGAAGACTCACCTCCAGGCTTGGAAGTAGTTTTTTTTTTTTAATTTGAAGAAGTTTGTTTAATTAGGTGGTGTCATACCACTCAGTAGGTTTTATTTTTCTTGCTATTGCATTTAATTGGTATGAAATGCTGAAGTGAGATGGATGTTTCAGTAACATCAAGAATTAGTGATTACTGCTGGTAAGGGATCATTTGTATTCTTTTGAATGTTGGATTCCTCTTGATTCCTTCTTTGCAGTTCAAGTATTATGCAGTATAGAAAATAAGCACAACACATTTTTACAATGCAATCGTATGCATGCGTGTTCAGTGGTAATTTGTGTTACATTCAGTGCATGTACTCCCTTAAATATGGAAGTAAGATTGAAGCCTTATTATTGTTTACTAAGTCAAGTAAACATACTAAATCAGATTTCCATCAATTTATGGCTGTGAGAATTTTCCAAACAAGTATAATCTTTCCTTCTGTTTCTAGCAGCTAATCATGAGGTCTGTTGCTTATGTGGACAAAACAACATTTATGAGCAAGTTCAGAAGTATCAGCAGACTAAAGGAAACCCAAAGTTTGCAGAAATAAAAAAAAAAAATCTTGACAGCTCCACCACCAAAGGGGAAGCCCAAAAGGCAGCCCAGTTAAGAAAGAGCATCTTCCATTGCCACAAAAACGAAGCTGTTCCAGGGGATTAAATAGGAAGTTGAGAATGGGTGACTAGGAACATAGTTCTCTGCAGTGAGTTAATTTCTGTAAAATGGTAGAATAAAAGTACATGTCAAGATTACACTTCAAAAGTCATTTAACAAGTAGAAATGAAGCAGTTTCATTGGCCTACAAAATAACACTTGCTAGGTAAAAGGTAAAGGTTCCCCTTGACATTTAGTCCAGTCGTGTCTGACTCTAGGGCGTGGTGCTCATCCCCATTTCCAAGCCATAGAGCCAGCGTTTGTCCAAAGACATTTTTCGTGGTCATGTGGCCAGCGCGACTAGACACGGAACGCTGTTACCTTCCCACCGAGGTGGTACCTATTTATCTACTCGCATTTTACATGCTTTTGAACTGCTAGGTTGACAGGAGCTGGGACAAGTGACAAGGCGCTCATTTTGTCGTGTGGATTTGATCTTATGACTGCTGGTCTTCTGACCTTGCAGCACAGAGGCTTCTGCGGTTTAACCCACAGCACTACCAGTCATTTCTTAAGGGCATCATTAGAGGAGTTTTGACAGAAATTTTATTGGATTTTCTTATCAGTTCTAATGAGTTCTCTTAAGTAATTAAAAATAACAGAGCAACAAGCAATATAACAAATTCCTTTTCAAACACTATAATTACAATTACCGTACTTTTTAAACACTATACAGTGGGGTCTTGACTTAAGAACGGCTCGAGTTAAGAACATTTTGACTTAAGAACCTCTCCCATAGGAAAATATTGACTTGACTTACATACTTAGATTTGAGTTAAGAACTGAAAAAAACCACGTGGGAGGCAGGGAAAGTGCAAAATTTGAACTTTCAGTTAACTGTTGGCCAACGAAAAGGGGGCCTGTCTGCTTCCTCACTCCTCCTAGCGTTTAGAGAGTGGATTGGGAGCCAGTCTTCGGACTGCCTGGTACTGTCCTGCCTGGACTGTATTTTCCCTGCCTTCCCTGAACCTTTCTTGACCTAAGAAAAAAAGAAACAAAATATCCCCCTCTAGTGGTCGAAGGCGGAATAGCAGCTTCCCATTAGTTTCTATGGACGGAAAAGAGCAGATACGGATCAAATGGTTTTCAATGCATTCCTATGGGAAATGCAGATTTGACCTGAGAACTTTTTGACTTGAGAACCGCCTTCCAATACGGATTAAGTTCTCAAGTCAAGACCCCACTGTACTGAATAATGAGAATAATTCGCTCTCAAAAGCAATCTGTGTGTGGAATGGTTGAAATCTCAATCCAGCCCTCAATATTTTGTTGCAGATTTCACTTGTCACTATCTTTATAATGTAAGTTGTTGTGTATATTGTGAATATTATTTTCTATAGCACTATGAAATAATTGCTACTTGGATTAATACAGGGCTCCCTTACTCAGGAGACTTAACAACTGAACTTTTTCCTTTGAATTCTCAGAGAAAGAGTCAGATAATGAAGAACATTATTTTTACAGATCTATTTTAATAACACAAAATGCTGCTGTACAGGAATACAACATGAAATGTACGAATGTAATTATGTGCTCCAACGCTTTCTACTTTGATCAGATGCTTAATGAAGAAAAAGAAAGTATTATATATCTTTATCCAATTAGTTTCTGCAAGGAGAAACAGGAGACCTGAAAGAAAAGATGCTATCACTTTTTTTTCCTGGAAATGTGATCCAGTAGAAGGAAGTCCCAAACTAATGGCCACCTGTAGCTTTACCAAAAAGGGATCTCTCTCACACATTCACACACCATTAAGTGTATATCCCCCAAAAGTATCTAGGCTTCCTTTTGTCTGCTTTTCAGAGTTTTGCACACTTGTGGTGGTGGGGCAGCCTATTTCCTTGGTTAAGTGGTTATACTACTTATAACTCACAGATTTAACTATCTGTTGGTTCCTTTTTTTATTCTCTTCAGAAGATTCAGCCACAATCTACCACTCAGTTTTTTCTGGGTTCTTGTATAGTTGCCCCTCCTTTCCTTTATGCATTTTTAGAGGCATGTTAAAGATAGTTGTAGTTTGGCACTCTGTGGCTCCACTGAGTCTATTCTCTTCACATCATCCACTGTATCTTTCCAACATCCCATTGTGGTAGATCATGTGCTGAGAGGGATTTTCATGGCTCACGGGCATAGATTGTCCACGTCCAGCACACAAACTGAGTGCCACATGAATGGCCTTGGTGTGGCTAACTGACCCAAGGAGGGGGAGGTAAATCCTGTGGCTGTACGTACAAGTGAATTGCTTTGAATTGTCTCCAAAGTGAGACCATTTGGTATTAAGATGCCTGTGATTCTAGAATTTATATCCCTCTTTTAAAAAGAGACTGAGGATCATATTGCATTGTATTTTCCTCTTTGCTGCCAATAAACTCGTATAATGCTGACACCCTTTTACTGTTTTCACATGATTCCTCTGAGATTATTTTGTTAGATCTGAACATTATTAATAAATTAGCATGTTGAATTCTGTTACCTTCCAAATATTGACTCCACTGAGTTCAAGGCAGCTTATGTGGCTGTTTTTGCTGCTTTTTTCTTGCAACAGCTGTAAGGTAGATTTTGTTGAGAGTGTGGGAAAAGACTGTGGTCACTCGATGTGTTTCGTGGCTTGCAGAACTTCTCGGTCCTGTTCCTACACTGTTACGTCACATTGGATTTTTATGCCTCCATAGATCTTTAGAGGTGTCGCTGATGCCCTGAGTGTATCGCCCTGGCTTTTGGACAACCGTGTGGGAAGTGGCCACTGTTTTTCAGCTACAGTGAATTCTGTGTTTGCTGCCTCTGTTTGGTTGAAGGTCTTGGAGAAAATGGGTTATGACATTGAGCGGTTTGTTGGCTACGTTAATGAAGGCCTACTGTGCTCTATCTGCCGAGATGTCCTCGAAGACCCTCTGCAGGCTCCCTGTGAACATGCTTTCTGTACTTCCTGCATACATGGATGGCTTGTTCATCACAACAACTGCCCGGAGGATCGTCAGCCACTGGACCTGCCTATCCTGCGACCTCTGTATAGGTACGTAACAAGCTCATATCCCAAAACGCCACTTCCCAGTATCACTAGTTCTATTCCAGCCTGAGCGACTGTGAAATACAGTGTCAGGGGAGGGGGATCTGGGCTACCTCTAAGAGCGACTACTTCTCTGTATGCCATATCCAATCATGGAATTGTTTAGGATAGATTTAGTCAGTTTCCATTTGAAGAGATCTTGTTTCTGAACCACTCGATCTATCTATCTGTCTGTCTGTCTGTCTGTCTGTCTGTCTGTCTGTCTGTCTGTCTGTCTGTCTGTCTGTCTGTCTGTCTGTCTATCTATCTATCTATCTATCTATCTATCTATCTATCATCCATACATCCATCCATACATCCATCCCTCCCTCCCCCCATCTAGACCAAAGGTCTACTGTGGGCGGTTTACAAATTTAAAAACAATAAAACCAATAAACATATGTTATAGATCCAAGCTGGCGAAAGTATAAGAAATTAAGATGGTGTGTGTTCATAGAATTATAGAATTGTAAAGTTGAAAAAGGTCTATAAGGTAATCAAGTCAAACCCCTTGCTCAATGCAGGATTACAAATCAAAGGAAATCTGCCAGGTGGTTGTCTAAATTTCTCTTGAATGCCTCCGGCACTGGAGCACTCGCTACCTCTTGAGGTAACTGGTTCCACCATTGTACTTCTCTAACAGTTAGGAAGTTTTTCCTGATATTCAACTGAAATCTGGCTTCCTGTAACTTGAGCCCATTTTTGCATGTCCTGCACTCTGGGATGACTGAGAACAGATCCTGCCCCTCCTCTGTATGACAACAGCCTTTCAAGAGTTTGTAAAGTGCTATCCTACCTCCCCTTAGTCTTTTCTCAAGGCTAGTTCTTTCAGTCTTTCCTCATATGGCTTGGTTTCCAGCCTCCTAATCTGAACTTGTTCCAGGTCATCAGCACCCTCCTTGAAGTGTGATGTTTGATATCTGGTTATCAGGTCAGTCACCACTGTGATTTTTTAAAAAGCGATGACTCATCAGAGTTGGACATTTGAGATAAGGGTAGGGATATTATGGCTAAGTAATTATTGAAGGATGATTTATCAGTACAAGTGTCTCACTGGACTGTTTTTGAATGGGAAAGGCAACCGTGAACAAAGTTTTGACTCCAGCCCAGCTAAGAGGGAGCATCCGGCAACAGTGTGCATGAGTTAAAGAACGAAAGCAACCACTGGAGCAGGGAACAAAGGCATTTTAAAGAAGGAGCAGGCTGAGAGAGAAACGTTGGATGTATTTCAGGCTGCTTCTAGATAGAAGTCTAAAAGGGAGCAAAAAATATTTTTATTGATTTTCACAGGTGCTCTACCTGTATATTTGTAAAGAAACTAAACCTTATAAAAGTTTCTCATGGTCTCGTGCCAAAATAAATTAAAGGTAGCAGCTCTGCCACTACCATTTCTTACTGCTCAGGGAAGTAGGAAACATGTAACATCACAATTTCATTCATTTCTCCTGTGTTCATTATGCCAATATCTTGTGTTTCCCTGAGTAGTGATATTTCAATATTTCCTGATTATTGGTTCCTTTGTGGTACGAAACTATCTTACGAAAGTAAAATCCTCTCATGGTATTGCAAGAATGAAGGAATTAACTTCTGTATCCAGATACATGAAGAATGACCTTAATCGACTGCAGCTTCACTGCAGAAACAGAGATTGTGGGTGTGAAATGGTGTGTTCGCTGGAATCTATTCACCGACATGAACGTGAATGTGAATACAGCCGGATTCCCTGCTCAAACAGCGGTATGTAAAAGGGCTCTCCATTTTGAGTGTAGTGCCATATTTTCAGAATATGGTTGGGGTGGGGGTGTCCTGGAGCTGGTGGCTGTTTTGCATAACCCTTTTAATATTTCTGTTTCTCTGTGAAATCCCCTTCACGTGCAGGAGTAATCTGGTATTTTTTTTTAATTGTTACCTACTTAGACATTCTGACATGGGGAAGTGGAGCCAAATAGCATCTAGAGGGCCGCAAGTGTCTCCCTTCTCCACCAAGTTCTCAGATTGTAGTGAATAAATACAGGCCCAGATCCCTACTTGGCCACGAAACCCACTGGGTGATTGGGGGCCAGTCGTGCTCTCTTCAGACTGATCTGCATTGCAGGGTTCCTAGGAAGCTAAAAATGTAGGAGGAGCATTTTCGCTGACTCGAATCCATTGGAGGAAAGACGAGACATAAATCTAACAAGTAGATAAACAGCTGATGTTTCAACATCAGAAGGTTTTTGAAAATGAAATGATTCTTTGGAAAAATATTCTGGGAGTAGTGATTTTCTGATATTTTAATGCTGATTGTTAAAATGCACAGACATCTAGATTATGATGTGGGCTTCCAAAGTTGATGCTGTTGTTCATCTTTTGCATGTTTTGTTCACCTATGCACACTGTTAAAATGAGGGTAACACTCAGCTCCACCTGCCATCAGCTGAGGCTCTTGCAGCTTTCAGTCACAAAACAAATCTCTTCAAATCAGCTTGCTTGATGTTTACTGAGTATCAGTATTAATACTTCTGTTGTTCAACTTGTTTGTGACTTATTTTTCATGATTTTTAGTAGGAAAACAGGATAGAAAGGTCATAAATAAATAATATTGAAAATAAAGTTACCTACTCTGTTTCCTCCCGCATTGTGCTTTTCTGTTAGGTTGCTCAGTTCAAGTTGAGCGGCGTAACTTGCACAGCCATTTGGCAGTGTGCGAGTATCGCAGCCGTGAATGCCCCAACGGTTGCGGCTTTGCCATCCTCAGTGCAGACGACGTGCAACACAACTGTGTGGCAGAGCTAAGAACAGAACTGGAACTGCTCAGGTACAACTGAACACACAACCACGCCTTCTCCTTGGCTGCTGCTCATATTTTGACAGTGAAAGCTTTCATTGCTAGTGAAGTGGCAATTCAGGCCTGCCACCTGTAACAATCTCTTCCCACCTCTGTGAATCAAGAAAATGTTTTGCAAAAACAGACCAATCTCCCTGTAGTTTCCAAGTCACTGGTAAAAACCTGTCAGGAAGCTGTTGCTACCTTTTCCTTTTTAAGACAGAGAAAGGTCTGGGGATTTTATAGCAAAAATAAAGAGGATTTTGCACTATTTAAATGGGTTGCAGTCCTTCAACACACACACACCCCCGCCCCAATCAAGTATTTAAAGTGCCACAACATTCCTTAGAAATAAAGCTGCAGGGAAAATTGTGAGGCTTACTAAAGGTGACTTGCTTAATTTTTTTAGATCAGAAATGATCTACCGAATGGAAGAGGCAAAACATGAGATGGAATCTCGCTTGGATTCTCAAAGGAGGCATATGGTGCAAAAAGAAAGCCTATTGCAAAATGAAATCGAAGAGTTGAAGGTATCGTCACTGGATATGAATTGGTTTGTCCCATAAGCGTTGCCTGTGTTGATTTCGAGCCTGCTTTATTCTATGCTGAATTTTCCGTCTTCAAATATGCACTTGGTTCTATTTTAGAACCAGTGCTTTTTGACAGCAGGTACTCCAACTAGAGTTCAAAAGAGCAAAAGCAGCATTGTTACTGGAGATTGGTGGACACTCTCTGGTGCCAATCTCATTTAAAAAACTGGCCTTCTTCTGAGTTGGTCTGGTCCTCCCTGCTAAATATCCCCATCCACTGAAGGCTATCCTCCTTTCACTCACCTACTGGGGTAACAGGACAAGACTGTTAGTGGGCTTCAAACATGAACATGGTTCATACATGCAGGGCTACTGGGGAGTATAGATTCCCATCTTTGTCCCATCTAGCCTGCTTTCTCCATTCTATTAGACTTGGCCTAATAGCATCTGTTGTTCCGGTCTGGCAGAATTCGCAGCCCAACATGGCAAATACAACAAAGTCTACTTCTCATCTTTCCTGTGAAAGTGAAGGAGAGACCTTTCAGGTGGCAAAAAAAATGTAGACACAGAATGGCTGGCTCTTTTTAAAGCGTATTGGCATTGAGAACATCACATCCTGCCTGGATGAAATATTGAATGTTAGTGTTCAAAATGAAAAAAATTGCCACAGGATAGGGGAGCTTGTATCTCTTCATGGGATGTATGTGAATGACAGCTTGAAATGGGATTCCTTATGGAGATGCTAACCTCTTCTTTCATTAATAAGAGTTGTCTAGAAAGCAGGTCTCTATCAGTTGCTAGGGAACATGAGATGCAGAGTACAGTTGTACTCCTGTCTTTGTAGTTGGCTTCCTGTTGACCACAGTTGACCCTGTGTAAAGAGCATGCTGGACTAGATGGTCTTTTGGTGTGATCCTATATAGCTCTCTATGAGCTTCTAGGACTGATGCTGAGCAACACTGGTCTAACTTGCCTGTACCATTTGTTTGTTTGTTTGTTTGTTTATTTGTTTGTTTGTTCAATTTATATCCCGCCCATCTGGTATATTCTACCACTCTATGAACATTTAGATATTTTTGGCCAAAAAAACCCCTACTATATGGTCCATCAGTAAAATAAAGAAGCAGAACTGAGCAAAACTCCAACTTGGTTTGCATTTTTTTCAAAAAGAACAACTCGACATTCACATCTTCCAAAATTCTTCACTGGGCCGAGTGTTGCACAACTTGACAAGAGATGAAAGCAGCAGAAAAGTTCAACATTCATTCAGACCAGACTCAGGTTACAGCTTTGGAACCTAGATTTACTTAAATTCTGACTGCATGTTTAGAGAACTGTTAGAACTGTGGTATGACCAAATTGTCTGTAGAGATATGCAATAGATCCTGCATTCCTGGAGGTGCAAAGGTAATTTGCAACCCTTTTGTATTTAAACCTAGAGAGAGAAAGAATTGATTTTACATCTCCATTCTGCTGTTTTCTATCCAGCATCCTGCCTGATTAAGAGTTCTGAAGGTTCCAAAAATCTCACTTCCCCACCCAGAAAATGTTCGAGTGGGCCAATAAAGGTATTGCCCAACTCTGTTTGTTTTCATGTATCTAATCTTTTACCACCAGATCCCTATTTGAAAATACAGATGCAGGAGCAAAATTCTAAATAAGCAGTTTGGGATAGCAGTGAGTGCTGAACTTTGGTGGCAGTCTTGAGTTGACCTTACATTCAGTACTGTTCAGCATAACCAATCTTCACAAGTTGTTTCAAGAATAAATTAGAGGGAACCCTTAACTAGCCATATTGAGATTCTTAAAGGAAGGGTGAAAATATGTGATATAAAATTGTGAACATTGTGATTTTTTTCTTTTTCACCAAGAGGTAGTATCAATGATACATTTCTTGCTTTTCTAAAATACCCTATTCATGTTTTTCAGAGTCAGATGTCCAGGATGATGTCTGACATCCAGACTCTGATGGCAACAGAGAGGCAACATCGGCAAGAGCTGGAGCAGGCAGAGCTAGAGAAACGAGAATTGCTGGAGTTGATGAAGGGTCTCCAGAAAGACTGTCGATTAACCAGGGATGGAAGCAAGAAAGTAGGGAACATCCGGACTCTGACACGCCTGGAGAGTATGAAGCGAAAACCCCGGGAGGTGACTGTCATATGAATTGAAAGAAGCTTCAAGCTCCTGCTTTTCTATGAACAGCTAGAGATACTGGGTTTTGATCCTCCCTTTGCTCTCTAACTCACTCCTAAAGGGCAAAACTAATGTTAAAAGGAACTTACCGATGTACCTAAACAAGGTCAAGTTCACCAGTGCTGGGGTTTCTGGAGATCCATTCATTTCTTTGGGATCATCCCCAACCCCACTTAGATGAGGTTCTGAATGACTGTAGTTGAAAGATAGCATGCTTAGATTCTTGCTGTTTAAGATTTAGAATTTAATGTCCATTGTTTTCATGTAGAAAACTTATTTTCTGTTGTGTTCATTCTAGACATGGACACTTTGTATTCGTATCCAAGTGATACAAATACAAAGGATGGCACCACAAGTGCCATGGTGGTCCATTCCTGCCTCCCAGAACCAGCCTGGTCCACTCACTGGGCTCCGTGTGGTGCACGTGTCCATCAGCATTGGCATTGCAGTAGTCCCACCAGCACTTCCCTGCCTCTCCCTACAACCGACCACTCAGCAGATGACTCACCTTCCCACCTCCTCGCTGGAGTGTTCGGCTGTGGGGAGAGGCAGGGAAGCACCGGTGGGACTACTCTCCATGATTGGTGCGACAACAATGCTGATGGACCAGGCTCGTTCTGGGGGGCGGGAGTGGACTGCCGTGACACCTGTGGGCTGAGTGTTGCACAACTGGATGCAAATAGGAAGTGCCCATTTCTAGTTCACTCTTGTCCAAAGGTCTCTCTCTTTCCCTTCTATACAAACAGGCTCCTTCTCACTGAAGACACACAGTGCAGATTCGTTTGTGAGCCCTGTGATTTTGTACAAGAACTGGCTGAATAACACAGTTCAATGTTTTAGCAAAAAAAAAAAAAAAATAATCTTCCAGTGGCGAGCACAATAAGGCCACACATGAACGATTTTCAGTTCCAGGTTAATGAATAAGCTACCTCAACTACTTTATCTCATGCAATTTGCAAACTTCAAAGGTGATTTGTTTGGTCCATTTCTCAACATTTACTTGTAAAACAGGGCAGCTGTATACTTTCAGCGGGTTGGGTTCAAAGAAAATGTAAGGTCTATACAGATACCTTATATCAGAAGAGAATATAATTTGCGGTGTCTCTGTTACGGTAAAGATTTGGTAGACAACCATGTGAGTCAGAAACCTGTTTGTGGGACACTGCTATAGTTAGTGGTTGGGATCTAGTTGTGTTTCTTCTTGCAAATCAAGTTTTGATACCTTGTGGGCACCTAACATTTTTCCTCTGTTTGCAAAAATAGGGGTTGAGCAATACATTTTCTTATTAGAAAAGCAGTCAGTGTAAAATGGCTACTTTCATTCATTTAGACCAGGGGTCTCAAACTTAATTTCCCTGGGGGCCGCTGGAGGCAGAGTCTGAGTGAGGGTGGGCCACATCAGATTTTCCGCCAAGCAGAGCAAGAGCCCGAGGAAGCTGCCCAGGAGTTTCCTTAGCCTGGCTGGGGCTCTGAGGAGGAGCGCGCACGAGCCCTCATCGCCGGCCATGATCCCTCAGGCTCCTCGGAGGCGGCAGCAGCTGCTTTTGGTGGCTTGGAGGCGCTCTTCGAGGATGGGCCAGGAGTGAGCTCCGCTCTCAGGCATCGTGTGGCAGCAGCTCGGGTGCTCGCTGGAAAATTTCTGGCAGCGCGCTGGCTCTCCCCCAAAACAGCTCCTCTTGCACCCTCCATCCAGAACTGCTGGCTGGCAGGCTGCAGTTCCAGATGGAGGGTGCAAGAGGCGCTGTCTTGGGAGAGAGCCGGCGAGCAAGGTGAGGCTTTTTTGTTTACTTTTGACAGCAGAGGATGTGTGGGTGCTTTGGGAGGGCAGACAAGGCGGGGGCTGCAAACTATCGTCCAGTAGGCAGCAAATGGCCCCCGAGCCGCATGTTTGAGACCCCCGATTTAGACGATAGTCTTTGAGTCTCAGGACAGCACCCCTTTCATTGGAAATAGTAATTGCTTCTTCACCTTTGTTTCTAGTCCTGGGTTATATGTAGTTTACTCTGGGAGTTATTTTGATGCACAACACCTAAAATAAAATCCTGTGATCATATAACACCTCAAAAGAACTTATAATGATGGTAGAGGCTTTAAGACTCTCTGAACATCAAAGTTGCTCTACATAGTTGTAGACCCCCACCCCCGCTGCCAATACAACAGCATTTAGTAAGGCAGAGGATCTGGTCCTGTTAACAACCATGCTAGCCTTCCCAGTATAAGATTAGAAACCCTCCTTTTTATTGTATGTTGAATCTTGTGTCACATTAAATGATGTGTCATAATAGAAAAACAACAGTGCAAAAGGAGCTCTTAGAGTAACGTATCTTCCAAAGTTGTATTTACTACCTAACTTCAAAGACTATTGTAGTTGCAGGTATAAAGAATTGTTAGTTTTTTATAGGTGCTGAATTACTACAAAGCAATACTGTTTGTGAATTAATAAAAATATGTTAGGGTATGTGTTTCTGCAATTATGGGGACAGAATAAGTTTACAGATCTCTTTTTTAAATTAAGGTCAAATTCAGTTAATCAGAGTGCTTTTAGAGGTCAAAGACGAGATGTAATCCAACTGCGACCATGCCTAGGTAACAGCTGAGACAACTGGAGAGTCCCCTTTTCTCCAGTTGTCACCTGCCAGTGCTGAGTCAGAGGGAGACAAAGCAGCAGCCCTTTCACTGTGCTTAGATCCAGTTTCATGATCTGCTGATCTGGCTGCCTACCATCCAGACAGGAGCATCAAGGAGAACAGAAAGTCAAGATTGTCATAAACCATGTGTGGAAATGAATTTCTCAAAACCCAACATCTTTTCACCATTAGAACAGAGTGCTTCAGACAGCAGCACTGGGCATCCAAGAAGGGTTAGATGTAAGGCTAAGAAAGGAAAAGGTATGTTCACTCCAAACTAGCTTGGTAAATGAGCATAGAAGAATGTATTGCAGATGAATGAATGGGTCAAAGGAAAGTAGGAAGCCTCATCTAAAAGTATTGAGGCATTTGTAGTATCCCTATAGATGAGCTTAAATGATCTTTTGTAAGGTGCCTTGGAAAGGCTTTGCCCTGAAAGGGAGCACAGAAATATTTCACTGGAGAAAACAGGTAACAAGACATCAGCTTCAATCACAGATGAAGAATAAGTAGCCCTCCAGAGATTATTAGTCTGCTACTCCCATCAGTCTATGTCCCCATCAGAACATGAAAGTATATCCAGTAGATCTCAACTCATACATGCAGATGAAAACAAGCCTAAAGGTAAATGGGACAAACAGGCAGTGCATGTGAAGTGGGCAATGGATATAAAAATGACACTGCACTTAAAAATGCTGTATTCATACATTTATGAAGGTCCCCTTTTGTATGCTTGGCTTTGAAACATAAAATATTTCATTCAAGGGAACTATTCTTCCTTATTCTGAAAATGACACTGCACATAACGAAGCTTTTTTGTAAATTGTGTCAACTGTCATTTTTCTGAGGCAGTCCTCAAGTCCTGGTTGGTTCTGGTTGCCTCACGTAATTATTTGTTGCTGTGGTCTTATCTAGATGTGTGTGCTCTGGAGGAAAGGAAAACCTCTATGTTTTTAGTCCCTACAGAGAAAGTTTCTAGCAGAACTGAAACAAGTGAAGGAATTGTGACAGCTGCACACAAGCTTATGGCACTGTTTCTGATCCATGGTGGGGGTGAGGAAGCCACAGCACAGTGATTATTACAGTCACTTTGAAGGATTTGATTTAAAGACATCCCGTCACACTTACATTAACTGAATGCTGCCACTAAACAACCCTACATTTTATTAACAATTTGTAAGGGATTTGTCATTTTCCCGAAAGTCTGCATCTGAAAGTGGACTCGTTAATTAAATAGCTGGAGTTTTGTGCAAGTGTTGCTCAACCCTGCTGTCCAAAGCACCAGAGGGTCTCTGTCTTCCTAATGCTGTAAAAAACAAACAAAGGCCAGCTGCACTGGCATGGCTTTATACTAAACGGGGTAAAATTTGATCTAAATCATAATTTAAATTTAAAAATAGATTTTTAAAAAATTTAAATTGAGATTTAAATCGATTTGTATCCACCTTGATACTAAATCAGAGTACAGTATCATGGCTGCTTCAAGACTGCTTTACTGAGGGCTGGGAGCAGCAGTATACTCCAGATGACAGCTCGTTGTAAGCTTTTTAAAGCAAACCTGCATTTGTACTTCTAGCCCATTGCCATTGTGCCAGGAAATATAGGCAACAGTACACGCACAAAAAAAGTTTTATTGAAATCTGATTTCGTATCAAACAAAATTGGATTCCGTTAAAAAAAAATCAGGCTGCTGTCCTCAGATACCAGTTAAAAGTCTAGCCATGGTCCTCAAATGCGTAAGCACCGTCCCCTTCTTGAAAGGTTCTGTCTGGCAATTCCCAAAAGTTTTATCGGGTAAAAGAACGGACGTGCCGCCCTCTTCCACTGCCTCCGCTAACAAACTTTCCTCTTGAGCCACCATTGCTGCCACTGTTTGCGCTTGCCCAAGAGGGCCCAATTCCACCACGGCCTCTGGAGGCACGATCACGAGGACTTGGCCGATAACCTTAAACAGAAACAACAACAAAAGAGGAATGAATGGAGCAGTAGAGTAGCAATTTCATTTCAAGAGATAAACAAAGGCCAACCCATCTCCCTATGGACACTTTGTGAAACAGCCCTTTCTCTGTGACAATACATTGCCTCCTCCACCATCCAGAGGACCTTCCCCATACTATCCAAAGTAGTAAGACTTTGATGCAATGCACTCCAGACAAACCAATTGGGGCTGAAGTTCTGAGCACAACTGTATAGAAGGAAGCTGCACTGAAATGAATATTCCATACCAAGTACATTCCATTATAATCAAACCGAAGACTATTTCAATTGATTTTTCTAAATAAAATACTGAAGTATTTATATATAAACAAATCTTAAAACACAGCACAATAAATAAAACTACCTTGAAAGAACTGAAATACTTTAAAATAGGAATGGGCAAGCATAGTTTTGAGGCTGCATGTGGCCTCCCAGGGAAGTTTTTCCAGCCCCCCCCCCTTTAAATAAATTTCACTTTCTGTTCCTAGAAACTCGCAGCTCAAGGGGTTTTGCAATAAAATGGGTATAGCCTCTCTAAAACTCCAGACCCATAAAAATGAACTCAGATATGGCTTTTAACAACAGTCACTTTTTATGTCAAATTTTTGTCATTAAAGGGGCTGATGTGGACCCCCTTGGATCCTATGACCAGAAAACTGGCCCATGTACCTCACAAAGTTGTTTATCCCTACTTCAAAATCATATTTAACGCCTTAAACACATTTTAAGCAGCATGACAAAAGAGTAAGTTTGATAATTTTGCTGAGAGACTAGACTTCAAACAGCCCAAATCTATTAGGTGCATATTTACCACTCCTGTTTTACTAGTTCTGAAATTATGCACTTTTCACAACCAACATACAGAAGTCCTCATTTGGGGATTTAAGTCTAGGATCACAAAAAGAGGCCCTGGCCACAGAATTAAGGCCAACAACAGGTTGATAGTGCTCTATTTTTTAAAAAAAAAAATCAAACTTTTTTGTATTGCCTTTTTGTTTCAGTAAGCTTTACAAAAACCTTTGTAGAAAAGCAGTATATAAGTGTAATAAAAAAAACCCAACTGAATCCAGATAGCTCAATCCAGTCGGAAGTGCTTGGGTCTGCCTTTGTTTAACAAATCGCACATGGCTGAGGCATAGTTTCTTCTATAGGTTAATATGATTTGGAGATACCAGGCTATTTATATATGTGCACAGTCTGGTTCTCGCATAACAGATCTGGTATCTGAGACTGAATCCTCTATATAGAAAATGTATGGAATGCTCTCCCTTGGGAGGATCAGGCTGCCCCCCCCTCCCTTTTTATTCTTTCACTGACAGCTAAAGACCCATCTTTTCAGACAGGCTTTTAGTCCTGCATGTTGTTTTTAACGAAGTTTGTTTTTAAAGTTTTAAGCGTTTTAATCACTTAATGCATTTTATTTGGATAATTGTGTTTTTAATTTTACTTGTTTCAGTGTTGCGAACTGCCTTGAGTCTCCTCATTTGTAGAAAGGCAGCCTACAAATGATGATCAGTCAATCAACCAATTTCAATTATAAATTAGAAATCTGGTAGAACATGATGAAATTGTAACTTCCTCAGCTGCCACCCCCCCCCAATTGCTAGCCATTCTAATAGGGAGATATGGCAAGATGCAGGTCAAGTGGGCAGCGGGACTACACCTCTCAGAAGTCCTAGGACTCCCAGATAGCATTGTAGCAGCTTCCTTTTTTAACAGGAAGTTAGGCCATGATGCATCTATGTTAGGCCCTTCTTTGGGTGACTGAAATATAGGGTTAGGGTGAAAATGTGAGCCTGTGGGCTGTAACTCCCAGAATTCTACCTGAGGAATTATTGAAGAATTCTGGAAGTTAAAAAGTCCAGTCCCCATTATAGATTTCATAAAAGAAAGAGGGAATCAATTGTTCAATTTAACTCTGCATTTAATTTTCAGTGTACCATGAAAAAAGTCACATACCTGCAGAACTTAATGGTCTCAAAGGTGGAAGTGGGCCTCTGTTAAAATTGCTCTGGCCCCCTCTGCTTTCATTGTATGTCCCTCGTGGAGAACTCTGTGCGCTCCAGCTTGACCCTCTAGCACCCTCGCGACGGCTGTAATTTCCTAAGAGAAAAACACAATGATCAAGCCAATTACAGACTGCACATATCTCAATTCTTCAATATTCAATTTCACATCTGAGTTTAAAAGCCATTATGTTTGCTTAAGTGACCAAAAGTGGCACTATAGCTTAGCTACGTAGGCCAAAGCATTCAGCTCTGGTTTGGAACGGGAGTTTTCATTTATCAAGGCTTCAGTGAGAGGCCCTGAGCAAGTCAATTGTGTGACTTTCTCAATTCCATTTGTAGATCAGAAGTAGTAACAGGGTAGGTGTGTGGAAAAGCCAAGAGATACATAGCATTTGTACCACAGGACTTTTACTGGCAGTGATAAAAAAAATAGCAACATTACTATGCAGACCTTCACAAGAAGGAATATGCAGGATAACTGAATCCCAGTTTTGTTTCCCAAGGGCCATCAAGTCTATACACTCCATATCGACTAGAGAACTTACCTTTTGAAGCAGGTGGTGTGAAGAATCGATTCTGGCTGTGAAAGGCTCCTCGTCCTCCTCGGTTCCCAGAGAATCCTCCTCGGGAAGAGATCTTCTGTGACACTTTAGGTGGCCTCTTGGGGGGCGGGATGCCATCTGGTGGAACCACTTCCTTGCTCTCTGCTGCCACAAAGTCATCGACGTGCATTGAAGGCGGCCTGCTTGTGTTCTGCTTCCTCTGACGGAATATGTCATGGGGCCGAATGCCTTGACCAAACGCTCCCCTGCCCCTTCCTCTCGGTGGGGGCACAATATGGGCCCTCTTGGCGGGTTCTATATATTCTGACTTCCCACTATTAAAAGTACAAAAGAGGAGCATGGTGATTTCATTAACCCAAGCAATTTTGTCTGGCAGAAAACAAAATACACTTCCCATAATTTACTTTATACTCAAGCAAATGGGAACATTTGCCAGCTCCTTTAAGTGAAATAAAAGAACCATATGAATGTGCTGTTTGCTGAAGACTTTTCTCCCTATCTTTTCTAAGCACACACCCCCAGGATCTCACAGTGATTTTCATTAATTTCAGTTGGCCAAACATTTTTTAAAAAATAAAGAGTTAATATAAGCAGCACCTGCCAAACCTCAAAGCTGAACCTGAAAAGAGTATTACTGTCCTTTTTCACTCCCTTTGTTTCACTCCTAGAATAACAGCAGATACCAAGTTAATTAATTAATTTTATTTATATCCCGCCTATCTGGTCAGTTAAGACCACTCTAGGCGGCTAACAACATAAAAATAAAACAATAAATATATATAAAACAAGTCACATAAAATAGACATTACAAAAAAACTGAGAGCAAACAATGGGGAGTAGAGAAAGAGGACATCAGGGATTGACTGTACCATCTAATTATGTAATAAAAGTCTCTTGACACTCTGAGCTCAGTGTATTCCAATAGTCCTGTCAGTCCCACTCATTTTCCTTCTTTCTGTTCTGGCACACTGTCTTGCAAGGTATCAGCCTTCCCTCCAACCTAGGTTTTCATAAATTTCTTTAGGTTAGAAAGATCCTTTGTGCAGATCTTTCACAGATCAGTTCCCTCATCCATCAGAAAACCTGTAACATTTTACATGGAACACAGGTCATTTACTACAGTCAGTATAGGTGGAAAATACAAATCTACCTTTATGTCCACAGGTGAATCAATGTGCACACATGCATACGTGCACACTTACACAAAACCACCAATCAGTTACCTGGATGTTATAAATGTCTCATGTTTGTGTTTTCCAAGTTTAAAGCCTTTGGTGGTTTTTGTCCGACCAGGAGAGGAAGGCTCTGACAGAAATGACCTCTCCAGTTCTGCCTGCAAATCAAAGTCACTGCATCCTTTTTCTGACAGTTCAATTAAGTCAACCTTCACCTGTAGAAAAAAGAAAAGAAAAAACCATGCCACTAACAATTCCCCAGCACACATGCTGGTATTCGGCACTATTAAAAGAGGAAACATGGCATAGTAGGGCAAAAGTGGAAAGAAGCTGGGTAACCCAAGTCCTTGGTTGACTCTAACACTTTGATCTGAAGAGGAATATCAGAGCCTACCATTCAGGTCAGGTGTCCTTATCTAGTCCAAAATTCTGATTTACCACATGCCATGTTTTGCATTTGATAGAAGAAGTACTATACAAGCCCTTCAAACTGGAGAACTATTGACTAATGAGAGAAATTGTAGGAGATAAAGTTGCCATTTCTTCTTCATGTAGAAGCCTATTATTTAATGTGTATCAGTGAAAGTACAACAATGTAAATTGCAACAGAGAATTGCCACTAGTTAAAGAGTTGATGCTTATATTCCTTGTTGCATACCAAGTCGTGTCACTGACACACCACCAAAAATACAAGCACCGACTCTTTAACCAACAACAACTTGCCACTGCAATTTATGCCACTGTGCTTATCCTGCCATACATAATTAGTAGAACTGTGGCACATAACCAATTCTGAGCCTCTGATATCAAGTGACAAGGAATTTAAGAGATTAAGACTAGTTTTCAAAGAAGCATTCAATTAGTACACCAAACCCGAAAAGGATTAGTATTCCATGAACAAGTGCACTCATACTATGTTTTAAAAATCACTTTCTGAAATGCAATAGAGTTTCACAGAGACATTATAAGGCTGGGAAATGTTTGAAATGTTTCAAAAAAATTAAAGTTATATTGGCCATTACTAGCTTTCAGGTGAGCCTTGAATTCAGCTTCCTGTTTAAAAATGTCCAGAATCCTACTGGTATCGGTTAAATATCTGCATAACTTGTCATGGCTAATTACAGCTAGCTGGTAATATCAGACCAAAAACAAAAAGATAAATTAAAGAAGACAAAGACATTGTGAGCTTTCGTGAATCAAGTCCACTTCCTCAGACAAACTGATGATTTGTCAAAGCACATCACAGTTGTGTGCACACTGCTGCAAGACCAATCTGTGCCCCAGAACCTCATCCATTAGCTGCAGTAAGTTATGTAAACTTTACATGAACACCAGAAGGTCTCCAACCAATATTTATTCCTTGTTAGCAGGCTGCTGCTGAGTGTATCTCAAAAAGTTCTGCTGACAACTATTTAATAAATATTCCATCCCCAATCTACCTCCAGTAGTAAATTTAAGGCTTTTACCATGTCAAGGTCAGTTTCAATTTCTTCAGCCTGGAATGGAGAGAACCACATAGACTTCAGCTGGTCATCCATCACATCTGACAAGATGTATGTAGTCCTGCACATAACACAATTTTTATTGTGTTTACTACTGTGCACATGTTTGACATTTTCTTTTTCTCTTTCAGATACACCAGTGGAATCGGTTTTTCACTCCCATCAAGTAATCACATTCATCAACTCATTCTTTTCTCTTCTTCCAAGCCATCTGTTTAGCTATGTTTTCCCTAAAGGACCATAGCCCTATTCAGGTGTCACAGGTATGGGAGTATATGCAAGCCCTGATACAGGAGAGCTCCCAAGTATAGCACTATAAGCACTCACAGTTGCAAGTGCCTCTGCAGAACTTCACACTGAAGTATGTAAACTTGCCACATGGGCAGCATAGTGGGTGGGCGCTAAGAATGGAGAGCTTTTTCCCCACCATAATTTCAGTTCTATCCACTTTCAGACTGTAACACTTGAACAGGACTCTTGTCTTCACTCAGTGTGCACCTCTACTGCAACCATGCCTTCTGCATCTAATTCTTTACCATTATTAAGCTCCATTCTATCCTATCTTATTGAAAGTAACAGAGTTGAAGCTTTAATGCATAACTTTGCTAAATTGCAGATCCCAGAATCCCTCAGCCAACATTCAAAAAGCAACTTTTCCAAGCTTTGCAGACAGCTCACTAAGGCAGAAACAATATCATTTCTGCATTCTGTTCCTCACCTACTATACCAGTTACTTTGTTGTTTTACAATATATTATATAATGTATATGTCTAAAATTACCCATTGTTTCATCCACAATAAACACATAATAAATATAGGTACAGAAAGTGCAAAAACTGGAAGTAGCAAGCAATGTTAGAAGCAACTGGAAATCATTGCATATGTGCGAGAAGCACAAAGAGACAAAGTAGAAACTGGGCCCATGCTTAATTTGGAAGGAAAAAAATATAAAAGGAAGACTTGACTATTCAATAGCCACTTGACTCCAAGCCTTTATAAAGAAAGCTACTTCAGTCTAAAGCAGTGGTTCTTAACCTTTGTTACTCAGATGCTTTTGAACTGCAACTCCCAGAAACCCCAGTCAGCACAGCTGGTGGTGAAGGCTTCTGGGAGTTGCAGTCCAAAACTCCTGAGTAACCCAAGGTTAAGAACCAGTGAGGACCATTCAGCAGTACTGACAAAATCATTATGTCATACATCAACAAAGAAATGTCATGATTAACAAGGCAACACATAATGCTTGGGCAATCCGAATACACTCCAGTTATCAGGGCCTAACAGCATTAATTCCCAAATAATTTTAAATAACACTTGGTGACACTTAGAACATTCATTTACTATCTGTGAGAAAAAGAGGATTGTGGTCTTAGGGGTGGAGTGAAAGATTTCAACTGGTAAGGAATATTGAGCTTGTCCAATAATAAATGCATGATTTAAATCTAATCTCAGATATGCTAATTCACATGCCTACTACTATTACTACTATTCATCATCATCATCAAACTGGTTTCAGATATTATATTTAGTTCTCTCATGATCACAAATTTATATTTGGCACCTTACCTGTTGTTAAAAAGATGCTGGAGAGATTCTGGTGCAGGAAGGACTGGTTCTACATCTTGATCGCTCAGAGGACAAGGATCACCAGCAGATTCCAGCATCTGCCGAAGTCCGACAACATTGTCCAATAAAGATTCCAGACTATCATCTTCTTTAGAACGCTCCTGTGTAAGAAATACCATAGTCACTCCTTCTTTGTAGATAATTTAAATGCTTCTGCTGCTAAAAACGAATACAATATATAAATGTCAACTCATTATGTAAGTCACACACCAGACCTGTCATTCACTAATTACATCATTCATTTGTGCGAAAATTCACAAAGTTCTTATAGCATAAATCTTTCTGGACTAAAGTCCATTTCAGGAGATGCACAAAGTATTATCCCAAGTATGTTAACATACAAGGAGATAGAAAAAAAGCTATAAAAGTGAGGCTGAATAGACACGCAACAGTCAAAATCGTCTTGCAGATGTCCAACTTGCAAGAAATCCACTTCACTGCATGTAAGCTAGGGGACCCACAGAAAAGAAGGAAGAAATCTTCAGCTACCTAAAATATCTACTGTTGGATGACATTGCCAGGAGAGGGAGATTTTTAATAATTAAAGACCTCTTTTTGTCCCACAATTCCTACAATTTCAGCAAACTGGAATAGATTACTCATGAGTCGGACAAGCTATGGGACAGAAGAAGGAAGTCTTAAATTATTGCAACTCTCCCCTACTGATGACATCGCCACCCTTAGACAGCCATACCTTGTGTAACAGAATGTTGGTCAAGAGAATAAATATAGCCTAATAATTGTATATAAAAGGTTAAAAAATCTGTGCAATATAAACACAGTGAGCATTCAGAATAGCCATCACTACTAATAAAAATTAGGATGATTTCATTACTACCATGTACTACTGTTCTGAATTGTCACTGACATTTGCCCATATTATTTCTTATTTTCTGTATACCATTTTGTGTGTACGTGCATCTATACACATTCCTCACTAATGAATTGGGTTTGTATTTCCGTACAGTTTATTCCAGATTAAGTTCATAAAAGGTTTTACCATTATAAATCTGTAAGGTACTACAAGAATGCATATCACTCTAAGCACATGATAGAAGGATTAGATTTAAATTAGTTTTAGGGCATAACACTTTCCCCATATATATTGGTGCCACTCCAACGTATGACAGTATGAGGCAAAGTTAAAGGACCAAGAGTTTTTCAAGAGAGGGTGTGTTAGGGAAATCAGACAGGTTCCATTACTGTTGAGCTTCCAATGGGCGACTAAAACTATGCTGTTCGAAAATGTCTTTGGTATCTAGAATTTTCTTTTTAACAACTGGCCTTTAAATAATGTTTGACATCTGTTCTTAAACACTTTGAATCTATTTTTCAACATTTTAAGTTGGATTTGAATGTTTTCAATCTGTTCTTGATTATATTCATCTACTGCAGGCAGAAAGGCAATAAATATTATAAATAAGTAATTAAAAGTTTGCTCTTTGCAGCATGGAGCTACAACATAACATCAAGAGCTCTTAGCTATGCAAGAAACTGATGAACTCATAGAACTGCTTCACACAAGATAAACCAAGTAGACTGTGGCAACATATCAAGAACTCGCATGCAGTATAAGCTTTGTTCCTCAGGACACTGTTGGTCCACAACTCCCATCACCTTTCGAACCCTGGCCATGCTGGCTAGGAGTAACGGCAGTAAGCTACACATTCTTTGCTCCTTTTTTATACATATGAAAAACTAGATGCATGCATCTTGCCCACCTGGTTTGCACAATTCTTTTTGCAAGAGGTGGACAGCAATTGACACATACAGTGGTGCCTCGCTTAACGATTTTAACTGGTTCCAAAAAAAATCACTATGGGAAAACATCGTTAAGCAGAACACGTTTTCCCATAAAGATGCATTGAAAACCGGATAATCCGTTCCAATAGGAACGGATTGCCATCCTTAAGCGAAAATCGCCATAGGAAACATCTTTAAGCAAAACGCGGTTCCCCAATTGAAATGCATTGAAACCTATTCAATGCATTTCAATGGTGAAAAAAAAAATTCACAAAATTTTTAAAAAGACTCAGAACAAAGCCAAATTTATTTAACGAAAGTTTTATTAGGTGCACTAATGATTCCACGCATTTTAAACATTTTAGAATATTTTAAAAATAGCAAAAAACAGGGCTGTCAAAAAAAACATTAAGCGAAACAGGGGACCTAAAACGAAAAACGTTAAGCGAAACATGGTCCCAAAATTGCTAAGCAAAAATCGTCCATAGGGAAAATCGTTAAACGGAGCGCAAGATTGCTCCAAAAAAGCCATTGTTAAGCGAATTTTTCGTTAAACGAAGCAATCGTTAAGCGAGGCACCACTGTACATACAAGCCAGTTACAACACCGCTTTGGACTGTGGAGGACTAGGTCCACTGAGCCATTCCCTTTCAACAGGGGTTGTCTCACCTTATCAAGTACAGTCAAGAGGGTTTAAAACATTTTGAAAGCATGTGCTTCAAGGAACAAAGTGTCTGGTCCAACAAAAGGAGGTTATTTCTCCCATCACCCTTAGGAATTTGTATCTTCAGAGCAACATATGCACAACATCCAGGAATTAAGGTACTTTGGAAATCAATATACTACTAAAACCACATTACCAAAACTAGCTTCTCCAGCTCAAGGAGCAGGTTGTCAGGCATTTCTTCTTTGTTTTGTAACTGCTGTTTTAATTCTGCAGTAGTAAGACCCAATGTTCTAGTCGGATGGCCTCCATCTACTTCTGCAAGGCTTCCATCATCTCCACAACAGCCCTAAGAAACATTTAAAAGCTAAACGTCTGAGAAAGTTTTGCAAAGTTAATAAGAAACCACAATAGCCAAATGTTGCTGGCATATGTCAGTGACCAAATTTCTTTGACAAACATACATAATGCTTAAAGAAAACCCTCCATGAAATGTAAGAAGTAACTTTGTATATAATTTGCTTTCACTGAAAAGACACATGCCTTGCTCTGCTCTTTAAGATGGTACACTCACATCTATTTCTGAAAGCTGGACTAAAGGTGTGGTGTAAATCCTCTTACATAAGATAAACAGTCACAAGCATCAGTGCCAACAGAACTTTTGAGCCATTCCTGACACCTTGTTTAGAGCCATCATCAAATAAGGATACTGCAGCTGTGTTATTTAAAGGAAAATACAGATATCTCATGTGTACCTTATCAATGTCCAAATGCAGGCCAAGACAACTGAATGGCAGCAAGGCTTCTGCAAAATGCTCGGGATACACTTACTTACCAGTGTGTCAGAATTTAGTATCTGTCTCGTAAAATCCAGAAAAGAAGAGGCAAGTTCTCCAGTGTCCTTACTAAAGCTGCTTACTACTCTCTTCAGTACGGTTTGCAGAGCACCACTGTGTTTTCTCAGAGAGCTGTTGTTTTTCCAAAGAGAAATATATAACATGTCAGAGATACAGATTCTTGTCTTTTTGCATTTGCATTTGGAAATTTCTACCCATCAAAGAACTAAACTACAGATAACGTTCTATCATGTGACAATCACTCCACAGAATGTATTTATCAAAAATTGTGATCTTTTGCTCCTTCAGGAGCAATGTTTTTTCACTTCTATACCCTTGAGTTGGGTCTCTGGCTTGCAGAATAAAATGGAAGAGAAGCTGCTTATATCGGTGCTCCCTATTTGACTTTTTTTTTATTGGCCAGGATGCCCTTAGAGGGCTGGGAGAACAAAATTGGCTCACCAGTTCCCTTGGCTTGCCTAGCCCTGCTGTAACTAAACAAGCCTCTTGTGATCAATCAAGATTTCTTTTACTCCACCAGAAGCCATAATTTTAACTCCACATTAAAAAAAAATCCTTCACAATCCAATTTCAGAAATAAGACTTTATACACTAAGAGCTTTACTGAGCTGAGCAATTAATACTTAAACTATTTCTTGTCAGAACTGTGAAAGTATCATGTTACTACCACCCAAAACCCATGATGCTAATATCTAGGAATCTGAAACATCTTTCTAACCCTCCATTTATCAATTCATCATTTCAACTCATAGACCATCTCATAGTGCAAAGAACTCTCTTAGTGATCCACAGCATAAGCGTACAAACAAATAATACAGTGCAATATAAAGATACATATCATCCAACAATAAAAATCAATAAATAAAACCAGTGAACTAGCTAAACCTATCTTTAGATAAACAATTTAAAAAGACATGAGACATCACAGGCAACGAGCACTAATAAAAACCTGCTTTAAGCAATTCTGTTTTAACTGATTTCTTAAAAACGGTGAGGGAAAGCACCTGGAAGTTTATTCCAGTGTGAGCCCACAACTGAAAAAGCCACCGGCTGGTTCCTGTTGTTCACTCTTTTGCCTCCCTTTGGTGTTATTGTTTTTAACATCCTGGACTGTGAAGAGCAAGTGGGACAGATTGCTGCTTCATAGGAGAGACGTTCTGACAGGTATCAAGATCCTAAGCTGTTTAGGGCTAGGCTACAGCTACCACAATTCCAACCCAAGACCTTTCCTTGACCGATTCAATTATCTGCTTTTACTGAAAATGACTGGCTAGCTGCATAACGCACAAACATACGTTTAGAAATATTCTGGCCAGAAAAAAGTTGTACCTCTTCAGGTGATAGAATCCATAGTCATGTTCTGTAAGGAACATCATGGTCCTGATGCATGTCAGTAAACAGCTATAACTGCCCTCCGCATTTGCAAGTGTTTCCACCAGACAGTCACAGATGGAAGCCACAAGTTCCTTGCCGGGCAGGGAATTGGAAAGCTGCTCCAATTCTGAAAGAGTGGACTCTGAAGAACTGGGCAAGATCAATGCAATGTCCTGCAAAAAGAATCCACAAGATTACTGAAAGCAGGAGCACTTTAGTATACTACATTGTTATGGTAAAAGAGATCATTGTGAGGAGTCAAAAGAACTTTGTGAAAGCTTACATTAGCCTAGCACAATGTAGGTATGTGTTTAGCAGATCACTGTAGTATACTGCAATGAGTTAGAGATTTCCCATCCTTGCAATGGTATTTGCCATGAAACATGTAAAGCTGCTGTCATCACATATTAATTCAAAGCCCAACATAGTTCTTTGGATCCTGGGCAACCACTTTATGAATTAATATACTTTTCAATGTATGGTGTTTTAAAATGACATTTACTTTTTAAAAATTCAATCTTTGCAGAAAATGCAAAAAAAGTGCAATAATATAATACAGTTGCCTGTGTAAAACATAACATGAAGAGAACTATTTCTGGATACTGCTACCACACAGCTATATTAAGACAGCCATCATGCCACAAAGCCTGTGTATTTGGCTTTCCACTGGGATCACATAATCAACCTTCAAGATCATCTTGGTAAGTCAGATAGTTTTCTATACAAACAGGAGCCATAAAGCAACACAGGCACAACATGTGAAGGCAGTGTTACTACTGAAAAAGCTCAACCAAACCTAATGGAAAAAATTATATATGGATGTCCAGTGTCCATGAAGCCAGCAATTTATTCCATGAATGAAGAGATCTCAAGTCCCTGAGTCAGACTTGCTTTATTTGGGTGCCTACAATTCACTCTACTGATCTGTTCACAGTTTTACTCAATCCAGGAACAATATCACCTGGATAAGAAGAGTTAACAAGAACACTGGCACCTCTAAGTCTATGGGATGTGGGAGAAAACACTCTCTAAAGAAAGACCAAAAACAAAAAACAAAATAGACAGAATGTAAGCTCTGTAACTGAATGCATTGCCAGGACACTGAAACTGATTCAGTATTTGGCACCTGTCTTCTCCAAGTCACAGAAGTATTTATTCCATTCCATCATTATCTACAAATGTGTAAGAGCGTACTTATGTATCTATCTGGGTGCCTAATTTTAAGTATAACATGCACAACATTTTAAAAAAAGAAATTAAAGAGTTCTTCGGATTTTCTGTTTAAAATACCTGATCGCAGAGAGACTGTAAAAGAGATGCTACATATTCAGCACACTGTTGATGAATAACATTGTCCCCTGCAAGTCGCATTAGAGACAAAAGCTCTGGGAAAACTTCAGCATACTTTTCGTCGCCTTTAGCAGTTCCATTAATCAGGTGCAGAATAGCCAATTTACAAGCCTTGTGTGAAGCCAAGGCATCAAGTAAAGCAAGTAGACGGGTAGTCTGGCCAGTGTACTGCTTCTCTTTATCTTCTGGATTGCTAAAATTGTATTGGAGAAAAAAACGCAAGACAAGAATATAAAAAACACAAGCTCCATTGTTAAAAAATCCAATTTTACATATTGTGAATTTATACAAGAAGACAACTTCTAAGGGATTGCCTGAAATCAAAATTATATATCCAATAAATAAATAGAAAAAGCAAAAAAAAAAAAGTTTGTAAAGGCAGCAGCACTTCCTGTCCCCCACCTCCTCTGGCTCAAACAGCCACTCACCAGACCCAAGTTCCTGGCTTCCAGCACCACAACTGATCTTCCAGTATTGGCTTCAGCTCAGACTTGGCTGATCTCCTGCTCAGACAAAATGGCACGGCAGAGCAGAGAAGTCTGTGCTCTTCCTCATGACTGGGAAATGAGCCAAGGAGGTGGAAAAAACAAACACGCTGGGCCTGGTGAGTGGCTAGATCGGCTGAGGAGGCAGGCAAGGGAAGCAGCATCACCTTTGCCCATCTCGACTACAAACACACTAAAAGTCATGAATGGCCTTCCGTAGGATGTTTGACTTCATATACCAATGACAAAAGCTATTGCTACAAATACATCAAAAACTCTTGTTAAAATTATGCCAGTACTAACTAAATGAGAACCACCACAGCGAAAACAAATTATTTTACCATGAGCTTCATATACATCACTGTGCAATTAATTGCAAGGAAAGATAGCATAAGCACTAGTGGCTTTGTCTAGGGGCCATAAGCCACTTAGCTTGAGAAATAGTGAAAAGAACAGCTATGCTTCAAACAGTTCTCAGAACATTTGCCTTTTTCAAAAGCAACCTAGAACATCTACCCCTTTCATGCCATAGCTTTGCCACTCTATGAGCAACATGCCGTAGTCCTGTGCCTCTCCCATGGAAAAATACCATCACCCACCTCTATCTCCCAGGATGTCACCAGAAGCTAGAGTAAAAACCAATCAGAGGGAGAAATACAAGGTCCTGGCCTGCTCGTGCTCAAAAGAACAAGTGGTGCATATAGCACATTTCCCACCATCAACATACAGGAGCTCTCCAGTCTGCCTTCTATCAAAGTAGCCCTGATTGTTGCTAACGGAATCGATTTGGCTACTGCTTAAAGGAATTTCTGGACACAATATTGAACCATACCTTTGCAGGTCTTCAACAAGCAGATCCAGAACTGTCCTCATAATAAGGAGAGCAGTTGGTGAGGCCAAATCACACAGCTGAACACAAATGCGCCTCAACATGTGCTGAATAGGCTGACAGGTGGAGCCAGAAAAGGACCGTACTATTTCTTGCAACAGTTTTGCTTGAACATGAAGATGCATGCTCCATAGCTTCCTAGTATTAAGAGCCACGGCTATGTCATGCGGTTCAATAACCTACCAGAAAAATAAAATAGTTAGTGCCAATGCCACATTCATGACATGCTCCATGGACGAAAGCTGCACCATCACAAAGGACCTAAGCTGGCTAGCATAATTAAAAACACGATATTAAAAGGCTAGAAACAATAATTATTCAAATACTAAAGAAGAATTAATACTATATAAAAATGTTAGATAAATGCATTAAAACAGCCTTAGAAGCAACAAAATATTTAAAAAATCTTGTCTATTGTTTCCTAGACAGTCAGTCACTAAGGGGGGGAGGAAGCCTGCCTGAAAAGAAAGGTCTTCACCTGTTTGCAGTCAAAACATATTCAAAACTCCCAGCAGAGTCGCTTTCCCACTGCAACAGTGAAAGTAGTATATGAACCACACTGACACTTTTTTGCCTAGTGGCCCAATAGGTATTATTCCTTTTTAATCTCTTACATCTTGCCAACTTGTGAGGAACAGAAAAAATGGGGCATGGTATACAAATGACCAGAAACTGTGGCGTGCCTAGTTTTCCTTTTTATTACCTGCAAAAATGATGAGCTGCAGTTGTGGAGCAGTTCCACTCTAGCATTTTTTATTTGATTCGCCAACCCCTTCACCAAAGAACCATTGCTTTTGCCAGATGAAAATCTGGCCTGGAACACAACTGCCAGCACTGTCATCAAATCCAAGACATAAAGCTAAACCCCAAATCCAATCACAGTTTGCTTTTACAGCAATGATTTCCAACTTTTTTTGAGCTGCAACTCCCTTTTATTATTTATTTGTTTGTTTGTTTGTTTGTTTGTTTAACTTATATGCCACCCACACTACCCGAAGGTCTCTGGGCGGCTTACAGCATTTAAAATACAATAAAAAGGCAAAATCAAAGAGCAAAATAATTAAAAATTATAGCCTAGTAACCTGTGAGACAGACAGACAGACAGACAGACAAGCCTAGTAACCTGTGACACACACACACACAAAGTTGCATGAAAAAGCATTTTAATGCTCGTATCATCTCAGAAAGTAGAGTCTTCTTTCTCCCCCAAAGGGTCTATTTCTCATAATACACATACACACTAATGTTAATATCCTGCTTGGAAGTCAAGAAATAAATTATTTAACAAGGGCTACATCCCATAACCCCTCAGAAAACTCTGCAACCCTCTTGAGGGTCATGTTCCCCAGGTTGGAAAACACTGCTCTATATAGCAATGAAGTGTGGCCTCTATATCGGAATAAATGAACTAATGGCAATAATACAACAAACATGGAATTTCAGGTCAGGAAGGAAATGGCTTTAAATAACACAATCTGTGAATAGGTGTCTTATCCAGAATTGCAGAATAGCTCCATGGTTTAGGTATCTGGCTGTGGCTTTGCCACTCTGCAGAGGCTGGATTCGATAATCCTTGCGGTCCCTTCCAGCTATGCTGTTTTAAAGGGATGATGATGATGATTATACAGATAGGCAGTTGGCAAGAGAAATATTTTAGACAGAGTAAGTTAGCTAACTAGTGACAAAAAAATGAGTCTTGCAATATACCAAACTGACAGATATTACACAGATCCTTACCTATCATTTCTGAAGGGCTCACCCCCTTCATCTCAATATTTTCATTTCTATGTTTTGAAACTATTCTCAGTTTATGCTATTCTTAGCTTTTAAGCCTGTTCTTTGTACTACATACCTGCGTGGTTTGCATGGGCAGAGGGAGTGGCAGCAATTCAGAAAGCAGTATAAGACCAGAGAAAAATCCTTCAGGAATTCTCAGAACAGACGTAAGGACCTCTTTTAGCATGAGCGACCAAGTATTATTGGCCAGAGTTTCTTCTGAGATGGTCAGCTTTTCATTGACACCTTGAGTGAAAGTCAACAAAATATCAATAATATCATTCTGGATTTTCTGTTCATCACTGTCTAAACGCCCCGAGAGGGGAATAGAACACAACAGCATGTGTAAGGAAATAAGTGCCGAAGGAACACGCATATCTTTGAATTCAAAGGATCCTCCCCGTAGGAGTTCAGTTAACATGGTTTTCAGAAGAGTAAGAGTACATCGGGCCATAGAGATTGTAGTGACTCTATGAAGAGTAGTTCCCATGTTGACATGGAGCCTCCAGGGCTGAATAAGGACACTATTCAGCTTCTGCAGAACTCGGATAAAAGTGTCCATTCCTTCAGAAGAGAAGAGTTGAATAACTGCAAGGTTCCACTTAAGATCTTTCTGCTGACCTGTAGGAAAATGGGAGGAACACAATTTCTTCACATTTGATCTTATTCTCCATTATTAAGAAATAAAGACTGGATACAGTTTTGCCTTTCTATGAGAATACTACCTTAGCCACCGAGCATGCACAATTTAAAGTTGTACAAAATGTTGTACTGGGCAGAAAATCACTTCACTTTACACAGTGGAGTAACTCCAGAACTAATTTTTATTTATTTATTTATTTATTTAACTCATTACTCTAATGTCACCAATTACAATGGTTTGGGGACAAATACATTTTAGAATCTCTTTAATAAGTGTGAATAAATTTAAAATAGTTGGAGAAATAACTAAGAAGAAAAACAAGGTTTATACCTTCAACAGGTGGTGGAGGACATGCAATATGGCACAGGACACGAAGTGCAGTAGGAAGACCAACTCCTTCCTGGGTCATCAAGCTATCAATATTCTTTTTAAAAGAATGTTATGAAAAATTAATATATACAATACAGCTAATGATATAAGACAGATCTATTTAACTTCTGTGGAACCATGGGTATCCTGAGTGTTCCACCTTTCCCCCTCAAGGATATCATGATCTACTAAACTGTTTTAGATTTTAAGAACAATGCACACTCAACATGTCACACTTAAGTCATAATTATTATAAACATTGATAAAGAATTTCCTTTCACATTCATATCACTTCCTATAATTTCTAACCATTCTTCTTCCAAGAAAGTGAGGCAAGACACACTACAATTCTCTGCCATGGCCTCCTGCCTGCCCTTTAAGTCTAGTGCAGGAATCTCCAAACTATGGCCCACAGGCCACATCCGGCCCACTTCGCCTTTTATCCAGCCCAGTGAACACTGCAGGCCCAGGTCCCTTCCCTTTAGCCAGGGCGTGCCAGTGGGCATTGAAAATGTGGAACATATACAATGTGGCCCTCATGCTAAAAGTTTGGAGACCCCTGGTCTAGCACATCATAATATAGTGTGATACAAAGATTGTAAGCTGTTATCATTACTTTAAAACATACATTCTGAGGACAAAGTAGCTGCAACAATGTTCATATAACAATCTCATGAATACCTGAGTAAACAGCAACGGGAGAGATTGGACTGAGGCCACAGGAGTGCAGAGCTTAGCCTTTCAACACTGCTGTGGTTCCAATTTGGGGAGGGAGAGGGACTGATATATGGTCCCAAACTAGATTTCTCTTCCCTCCACATGACTATTCATTTTACAAAAATTCATACAATTAGGAATGGAATGAAACACGACCACATCCAATCTGGCTCCTACAGAACATTGTTTGAAATGGAATCAAATACATTTGTTGTTTTAGAATAAGATACCACATTTTCAAAATCTGTTTTATAATGAAGGTTACATTAAATTTCAACAAACTACTAAAAATCTTCTAACTGAGGACCCAGTCACAATTAAAAAAATCCTGAACAAAGAATACATAGTAGTCTTTATGTTATCCTGTGCACTAAAACTGTGATGAAACAAAAATCCTTAAAAAGTACTTCAGAAATTGTTGTATGTTCCTTACAAGAATGAGAAGAACTGAAAAAACCTCTATGCAGATATTTTAGGAAAATGCAGCTACTTCTTTTTTTCTTTTTCTTTTTTTACTGACCTGTTTGATATATTCAATGAGACTGGGGATACAATTAATTTCAAAGCGGATGGTTTTCAAAGGTTCCAGCCATTTGCCAAGTTCTATATATATATAAAATACAATTTGATCAATGATGTTTTTAAGTAGCACTACATATTCAAACACTGTGACATGCATAAATTACAAGCCTTTTAGGTACATCTGGGTTCAGCAAGAGCAGCTTTAAGATCCAATGAACTGAAGAGCTAAACTTATATTTCAGTTTGCTCAACAACTTTTCTTTACAATCATGCTAGATTTCAGATTATTTCTTTACCAATCTAAGAACAAGAATGTTGCTGATCATCTATTTCTTGTCAAAAGAGTTTCCTTATGATAAAGAAATGTTTTCACAAATAAATGAAGTTAGACACATTTCTCCCCTAAAAAGTCTTCTATTCAGATATTGAAAAAAATAAACTAAGGTCTAATATAAGAGACAATTTATATGCCTATTTGCTTGGGAATAACCCCACTAATTCAAATTCATCTTATTCCCAAATACACTAAACTATAGCCTTAGTTATTAAGAATCTTAAGGATCTGGGGAGGGTTTCTTTTTAAATATTAGACTCATCTTAATGCAAAAATGAACAAAAATGTATAAAATGTCATAATCCAAGAGAAACAGGTGGCAGAATCAGAAGAAAGTAATTTTGCAAAACACAATGGAAACATTCCAACTCTTGAATATTCCGCATCAAAACCAATCTTAAATATCTACGCCTTCTGCATACTGTACATGTTCTTAAATAAGAGATAGGTACTGTACTTATCTGTGATTTTTGTTTAATTGTTTACAAATGTACTTTGTTTGGTAGAGGGTACTGTAGATTGACAGCATCCTAAAAAGCAGAGACATCCCCTTGCCAGCAAAAGTCCGCATAGTCAAAGCTATGGTTTTTCCTGTAGTGATGTATGGAAGTGACAGCTGGACCGTAAAGAAAGCTGACCGCCGAAGAATTGATGCTTTTGAATTGTGGTGTTGGAGGAGGCTCTTGAGAGTCCCCTGGACTGCAAGGAGAACTAACCTATCCATTCTAAAGGAAATCAACCCAGAGTGCTCACTGGAAGGACAGATCCTGAAGCTGAGGCTCCAATACTTTGGCCATCTCATGAGAAGAGAAGACTCCTTGGAAAAGACCTTATGTTAGGAAAGTGTGAAGGCAAGAGGAGAAGGGGACGACAGAGGATGAGATGGTTGGACAATGTCATCGAAGCTACCAGAATGAATTTGACACAACTCTGGGAGGCAGTGGAAGATAGGAGGGCCTGGCGTGCTCTGGTCTATGGGGTCACGAAGAGTCAGACATGACTAAATGACGACTGTAGATTGTGGTATTCAGGATTTGAATTAGCAACCTGAATGATGCACTTACCCTAGCCCCTTCACTGCCTGCTTTTGGGTGGTCTTCAAGGGTAATTTTGTTTAGGCAGACATTTTTTTCTATTTAGGCAGGCATTTTTTTTCTATTTAGGCACTGAGGTTTTTAGAATCTCATTATTGTAATGAATTCAGTTGTTTTAAAAGCAGTATCTTTCAGGTTACGGATTCAAGTCCTGCATACCAGAATCAACAGTGGCCTTTCCCAGTTAAAGAGGTACCTTATTTTTTTCTGTATTTTTGTTGTTATGTATGTGGTGTTTTTTTTGGTGTATTTTTTGTATAAAATAAAATTAATTCCAGTATCTTAAAAAATGATGGCATGACATAAAGGGGAGTCTGAAAGTAGAACAAAGTTTTTGGGGACAGGGACAGGAGAAAGGATGGAGCTTATTTGGTCTGAGGCTTCTGGAAGCTTTAAAAGTATATTATAAAGCAGTCCATATGAATAAAGGGGACTCCTGTTTTGAACCTTGAAACGGGCTTGAGAAATTTCAACGGCTTTAATTTTGGAAATACACTTTCTGTTACATCCAACATTACTCTTCTGCCAACAGAACAGAAACCATTGGCAGAAGCAGTCCTTCCTCCCCCTCTTCATCTCCTCCCCAAATGCACACAACTCTGCTTAAGAACAGTGACTTGGATCCAGACTGAGCCAGGCTTAGACCTTACCCATTAGTAGCAACGAGGCTTAGATCAGTCATCTCCAACTGGAGTCCTAAAGATATTATTACAGATATTAACAAATCCGCTCCAAGTATGACTACACCTGGGTTCAACCCCTTGTTCTTTATACTGGCCAGGATTCATAGAACTATTTTAGATGCATGCACAAGAGAAGTTTCTTTTTCTTCTTTTTTTAGCTATAGGCTTTTTAATAACAGAATCCCAAATCATATCACAAACTTTTTTTTCATGGACCGTTCATTTTGTCAGGTCCACTCAAAATCTAATTACTTTTCCACCTAGGTGGGCAGAGTGAGAGAGGAGAGAGTTGCTCAAGAAACAGAAGCACAATAACAGCCTTTGTCAATGTAGAAGTCTATGCAAAGTTATCTGATCTCAGTCACTATATTTTAAAGTTATGTGCCTATGACAGGGGAGCAGGGGACTAATGAGTTGTAGGACTCAAGCACTGCCTCCTTTAAAATCTTATTTGCTACAATTATCAAATGATTCCCACCAATGAATGAGTGGAAGGTTACACCAAAAAGGGAGCTTTTTCTTTTAAATGTTCTCTAAAAATAGAGAGCAGGCGGCATAACTGTTCAATGATTCAGCCTAATCTCTTTATAAAAAAAGAAATCAGATAACATATATTATCAAAATCCAGATCATCAGAATATCCTTATAACAGACACTAGAAAACGTCTCCTGAACTGTTTCAACTACTGCCCAATAAAGCCATACAGACCTTGCAACTTAGTGTTGTTTTCATCAGCTTTGCAAAGCTTCAACAAGGGCGCCGCATACTGCTCAAGCATTTGTACGTCACTGGAGGACTGGACCACCAGCAGAACAAGAATGCAGGCATAATTATAGGCAACTGACTTCTTTGACTTGGAATCACTAAAAGAAAGAGATTTCTCCCTTTAAATTGAGATGGATTAGACATTTGCATCCTCCACTTAGAGAACATTTCATATTTTGGTTTACATGATTATTTTGTACAGAAAAGAAAACAGTTGGAAGACATGCTATCCCCAAGATCTCTCATCTCGGGATACAGAATTCTCAGTTCTGATAATCGGAACTCAGCAAGAAAAATGAATTACATTGGTAAACATCAAGCAACACCGAACAGGAGAGAGAAAGAACAGCCCTGATCCGAGGTCAGGGTGCAGATCTTGTAAGGTCTGCCTCAGACCAACATTCATCTAATACAAATTATCATAATATATATGACTATTCTCTATAAAGCCCATTAATGTAGCTTTTAATCTAAAACAGGGTAGAAACCCTGTGACCCTCCAACTCCCAGCCAGGCTCAGCCAGCATAACCAATGGTCAGAGATGATGAGATCTGCAGCCCAACAGCATCGGTAGAGATTCAGGTCCCATAATGCTACTCTACAACATATTCTGGAGCAACAACATAGTTTTTGGTAGAGATTCAGGTCCCATAATGCAACATATTCTGGAGCAACAACATAGTTTTTAGGTCTACTCATCGAAAACATATTCTACATCCACATGTTTCTTAGTATATATTTTACTGAAATTATTTAATACGAAAGGGGGAGATATAATATGTTTCCAACAAGAAAATACTTTTAAAGCACTTAATTTCTCATTTATACAACTTAATCCTGTGTTCCAATCAGATTAACATTGTCCTTTAACTTTCCTTCGGAGAAAACTAGCACTGGATTAGTCTCTCAACCTTAGCCACTGGATTTTTCACAAATGCAGTTCCCTAATCTTGATAAGACATGCCTACATTCCCCACCACCATCTAAACAAGAAAATGCAGTCGTGCCCCGCTTAACGATTACCCCGTATAATGACGAATCCGCTTCACGACGATGTTTTTGTGATCGCAATTGTGATCGCAAAATGATGTTTAGATGGGGGTTTTTTGCTTAGTGATGATAGATTCCCTTCTTCTGGAACCGATTCTTCGCATTACGGCAATCAATTGCGATTGCAATTGTGATCGCAAAATTATGTTTAGATGGGGTTTTTTTCCTTAGCGATCCCTTCTTCTGGAACCAAATCTTCGCATTACGGCAATCAAAACAGCTGATCATCAGGTTTTCAAAATGGCTGCCGGCTGCTCAAAATGACTTCCTGCTGTGTTTTTGGACAGATTCCTTGCTTTACAGGCACCAAAAATGGCCACCCCTATGGAGGATCTTCGCTGGATGGTGAGTTATTCAGCCCATTGGAATGCATTGAACGATTTTCAATGCATTTCAATGGGCTTTTTAATTTCACTTTACGATGTTTTCGCTCTACAGCGATTTCGCTGGAACGAATTAACGTCATCAAGCGAGGCACCACTGTAGGTGCAAGGACAAGGAAAGTAGTATTTCTGCACAATATATTCAAATTCATGAAATAAAGGAAAGGGAAACTGTGAGGTTTGCATTTCATGTTCTTCTCTATTTATATTGTATGCAAAACAGATCATCTGTTTGCCTCTGCGACAATTCAGAATATTTCCGCAGTGATGAAAACACAAAATTTTATGAGATAAGAGGAAGGGGAAACATAAAGAGGTTCTTTTATTCTCTGTTTTACTTGCGTTTTCAATATTGCTCTTATTATGAGTTGTAATCAATGTTTTTTAAAGCTGAGCACGCACGCACACACGTTTGCCCAAAACTCCACCCACTCCTGCTCTTATCATGAGTTGTAATCAATGTTTTTTTTAAGCTGAGCACGCACGCACGCACGTTTGCCCAAAACTCCACCCACTCCTGCGCACACAGATTTAGGCTCCTGTGCAGCAGGACAGAAACTTTGAGGGAACACTGGTTGTCATATATCTGTTTAATGCTTTTTAAATATTGTAATTATTTATTTAGCTTTTAACTTTATTTCTTTTAATACTGGATCCTTTAAGAAAAAGGCAGCATATTGTAAATTAAATTAAATTAAATTACATTACATTACATTACATTACATTATA